AAAGTAATATCAAAACCACGAATCGCACCTCGATTCAAGCCTAAGAAACTAATCAACTTTCAACTTTCCAAAACTCATGCCGAACCACGTCACATCAACTCGGAATAATCGAGGCCTCAAGTCACACAAAATAATATTATATACAATTCTTTTCACTTAACTAATAGAAATATATTCAAAAGATTGGTACATTCCTATATCTTCTTATTAGTCAATTTCGAAAAGATTAATACGTTCCTATATTTATTTCATGAGAAACTTTTATAGCCAACATATATTATGATTTTTTTAAGACCACTAACTTTAAAAGTTTTAAAATTACTCAACTTTCAAAAGTATTGTTTTAGTTAAACTAAACAAACAACTTGAAACTGAGTCAAGTATATAAGCTTACTCGCGCTTCGCGCGGTAATAACATTCATGAATCCACTACTTTATTACAAATGGATTGTCTTACATCATCTTATTAGATCCCTATAAAACGAAAGCATATCTAAAATTGAAATTTTGGTTTAGTAGCCTTTATATTTTATAGGCAAATTAGTAGCTCGTATATTTTTATAGGTATTTGTGTCTGATACATGTCAAATACAATACCTTAAGAATCATATGATATATACACCTATAAGTAATTAATATATATACATATAAGTTAATAAAATATTTGTAGCATTTACAATTTCATTCGCAAAAGTAAACCTTAGTACTAGTTGTCAAAAACACAACTGAAGTTTTTTAGAATTAAATTGAATACTAAAGTCGGTCTAGCTTGATCTATAGAAAGATAATACGGTGATCATCTAAAAAAAGACAATGATGTTATATGTTGTTTTAAAAAAATAAGTATTTGATGCCCTCACTCGATCCCTCTTCGCTCTGCACTCTGTATTCAATGTTCATCCATTTCTCGGCTCCCTCTTCTATTTCCTTCATTTTCTTATCCTCTTCACCAAATGCAACTATTTATAATCATTAGATAACACTACCATTGCTTCTCATTGCAGAAAATTAGTAAAAGGAAAAATAATAACTATTTTTAGTCATTAGACAACACATAAATATTGCTTTTTTTATTACAAAAAAAGAGAGAGGAAAATAACAATAGTTTAAACTCTTATTATTGCAATAGGATTAAATAGAAAATTAAAGAGAAACGTTAAAAAATGAGGAAAACGATAAAATGGGAATATATAATATTGAGTAATAGTATCCTCTTGAGTACACAATAATAGTAGTGCTAGTACTGCAAGCGAAAATATGATCAAAAGGAGAGCTAAGAGATTAGTTCTATTGGAAATAGAGTTAACCTGAATACAGGAGAATATTTATCAATGAATAAAGACTGGACTCAGACTGTAACGCTAGAACGGGTGAAACTTTAGAGTGTCTCATTGAGAAGAATAATGCATATCTTTATTTTATTTTTAGATGAAGGAAGAATAATACTACGTACTTTAAGCATAATTAAATAATGATTTAGGGATGATAGTGATGGCAAGATTACCATTAAGAGACCACATGATGCAAACAATCTCTCTAATTATGTGTAATGGATGAAAATAGTTAAAATCAAACCGAATCAATCCGATCAATGCCACACAGTGATTTTGTCACTAAACATGGATATTAAACCAAAGGGAAATGAAGGAAAATTTTGAGTACATGTGAGAATCTTTAAGAAAAAATAAAAAGAAGAACAGAGCAAAACAAATTACGAAAAGTAAAATATACTAGGTTAGAAATAAAAGTAAGGAACAAAAATGTACAAAAGAAAAACAAAAACAAAGAGAAAACGAAGGAAAGGCAGCTTACATGATTTGGTTTTTGTCCTTCAGTAAGCTTAAAGAATTTGGTTATGTGTGGGTAATATAAAGGGAAGCTAGAGTGATTCTTTAATGAGAATTAAGAGGTACTATCAACCTCTTCATATTTTACCGTTTCAAAAGAGTACGTTATTGATTGAAATAAAGATTTTTGAAGAGGAAATTAAAAAGGAGTTGATTCTTCTTCTCTGTTGATTAATACTGATATTTAGGGTAAATTGTTGCCTTTATTGCTATGTAGGTTTTCATTGCTATGAACATAATTAATAGAGGATTTATAGGGGGAGGGAAAAAGTTTGAAAGAGACAATAATTAGCTATTAAGGTATCTAATAAAGAAACAAATAAATGGTTATATGAAGTCTTAGAGATAGCAAATTTCATTCATTCACTGACGATTTGGCCGAGATTGGGTCTTTTTTTAAATTTAATTTTTTTACTTTTCAGAATTTGCCATTAACATATTTTTCTGCAAGATTACCATTGAGAGACCACATGATGCAAACAATCTCTCTAATTATGTGTAATGGATAAAAATAGTTAAAATCAAACCGAATCAATCCGATCAATGCCACACTGGTGATTTTGTCACTAAATATGATTATTAAAATAAAGGAAAATAAAGGAAGAATTTGAGTACATGTGAGAATCTCTAAGAAAAAATAAAAAGAAGAATAGAGCAAAACAAATTACGAAAAGCAAAATATGCTAGGTTAGAAATAAAAGTAAGGAACAAAAATGTACAAAAGAAAAACAAAAACAAAGAGAAAACGAAGGAAAGGCAGCTTACATGATTTGGTTTTTATTCTTCAGTAAGCTTAAAGAATTTGGTTATGTGTGGGTGATATAAAGGGAAGCTAGAGTGATTCTTTAATGAGAATTAAGAGGTACTATCAACCTCTTCATATTTTATCGTTTCAGAAGGGTACATTATTAATTGAAATAAAGATTTTTGAAAAGGAAATGAAAGAGAAGTTGAATCTTCTTCTCTGTTGATTAATATTGATATTTGGGGTAAATTATTGTCTTTATTGCTATGTAGGTTTTCATTGCTACGAACATAATTAAAAGAGGATTTATAGGGGGAGGGAAAAAGTTTGAAAGAGACAATAATTAGCTATTAAGGTATCTAATAAAGAAACAGTTATATGAAGTCTTATAGAGATTATTGGGCTACAAAAAATAAGATAAATGCAAAAACGATAAGTGAGTTCCTTGGACAAAGAGATGTGCGACCTCACGCTTCTATTTACCACAATTATATAGACTAACTTTATTGTAGCGTTGCATGTGTGCCTAGCGTCAATCAGTAAAATATGTACAAAAGGAATATGTAAATTAGCTTATCAAATACTAAGTTTTAAAATGTAGACATTAAGTTAATATGATAAAATAAATAACTAAGCATATAAAAAAGTACAGGAAGTTGTCATTTGTTTAAATGAATATCAAAAGAAATAAAAATAATTAATGCTAACTCATGTAAAATATTTTTTGTCTTCTAATATTTCATCCTTATAATTTAATATTTGTACTTTTACAATTTGATTCTTGATACTATATTATAACTGATTATATGATGAATATCGAAAAGAATGACTTGATTTTTTTTTTTTTTTTTTCAAATTAGTTAATTTAAAGATTTCCTTTGGTTAATTAATTTAAGAGCTTACTTTTTGTTTTCACGTTAAGGAGAATAATTTATTTTTGTTGATTCAAATCTTAATATTAGTTCATCCCAAGTTTTAAATATTTAAATATAATTATAATTTTTATCCAATAAAAATTCTATGTTAAGAGTAATAAAGAAAATCGCTATGACATACCACTTCTGAATTTTTATGTTAGTATAACCATTAGTGTTACTGAATCTTACCAATACTTCTCTTTCTTTTATATTCTTAAAATTAAAATATTTTCTTAGTTAAGCTTGATACTCGAATTTAAAAAAAAATAGAATTAATAAACTTTTGAGATTACTATGTTTGTGATTGCAAGATATTTGTTTTTACTCCCAAGCATGATTTAATAACAAAAAAATTAGTTAATATCAAAATTTTAAATATAAGAAAAATAATTGAATGACTATTCTATTATTTAAAAGAAATACATGTAAACCTTGAAAAAAGACTCCTAAACCTGGGGAAAAAATAAGAACTCCTAAACCATGAAAAGAAAAGTAAGGACCACTAAAATTTTATAACAAAAGATACTCGTAAGCCTAATATTAAAAAATGATACTTCTGAAGTGATTGGAATTCAATACCCTAAATCTAAATGTAGTTTATGTGAAGGACTCCAATTAAATAGCATAATTTTTCAGATCAAAGTCCTAAGTATTAGAAAAATAATTATGTGACTATTTTTAAATATTATGAAAATAATTAAATCACTATTCCTACAATTTAGCAAAATAGATTAAATTACTATTTTGTCAAATGTGAAAGCTAGTTAAGATTTTACCTTATAAACTAATAGTAAAAATTAAATACTAAGGGCTCTTAGACTCTTTTTAACATTATTCTTTTATTAATGAAGAAAGTTGACAAAGGTAAATATACATAAAAGAAAGTTCTTTTTATAGATGTGTTTTTGTGACTCAAATAAATTATCATCTTTTTTGCATGTTTATACTTTATATTAGGAAAAGGAGACTCAAATTCAAATGCATAGGACGACATAAGAATAATTGATATTTAGTATGTAAAGTTCATATATTTATTGTTCATTATTGTGTTATTTTTTAACTAATAAATTTATTCTAATATAATTTAGTCTAAAATAATTAGATCAGTAGCAAAGTAAATAGAGGAAATAAATAAAAACTTGGGAAAAAGTAATTTTTCTCACAATATTCCATGTTCATTAAAGTCTCCAAGAAATAGTACAAATTAAATAAGTTATATTAGTAGTTCAAATAAGGAAGGATATAATACATAAAATTTAATTGATTGCGAAATTATAGATATTTGAAAAATAATTAAATGTATATAATTCAAATAAATGTTTTGTATTGTGCGAAAATAAAGGTAAAAGAGGCGAACGATATTTTGATAAAACGTTGTTACTTTTAATATATAGTATATTGATATAGATCTGCAGATCAGGTACTGAACAGTCACGTGCGCCAAACATGACTAATTCCGGCCACTATAAACGCTAGGGTTTGTACCAAAAACCTTTAACCAAACAAATTTAATAGAAAGTTGAAAGATGTTCTATGTTACTATAGGATCCACCTAAACTGTTAGCCAGATAACAATTTATACTTTGATTTCTTACTACTCGCTCTTTTAGATCCTGCTTCTCTCCATTTTAGGCTTTTTTCCTTTCTGATTTTACAAGTTAATTTATATGTGACATATTACTACACGAACATATGGAAGGCAGACGAATTCGAAGGTTTAGCAGATGGCAAAGAAGCAATGAGACTCTATTGCCTATGCGCATCAATCGCCTATCCAACACTATCTCTTGTTGGTATGAATCACATCTTTCTTCTTTTTCCCCTATTGTTAGCGGCATTTAAAAAGTGTGTTTGAATTGGCCATCGAATATTGAAATTTGCAGGTATTGTGACTACAAGTCGTCAATATTGAACGAACCCCTGTTTCATTTCGGACGAAGATACTCAAGGTCTCCTTTTTTAACCTATTTTTGTTGATAAATAGTTAGTGCTTTCCAATTTTTTTGATACCTAATGTGTAGGAATTAGCAGCTGGTGCACATTTTGCTCCTTTGTATGTAGAGGAAGGTGGTTTTCGGTACCAATTGCTTTTCTGATTTTATTTTCCAGGGATTGAAAATTCAATATTGAAGTTTGCCTAACCTAGTAACATTTGAAAAAATGTCCTAAATCGTTGCTTGAATTTTTCTGCTGCATGTTTTATGTTAAATAAATTGAAGAAGTAAGTACAATTGCAATAGAAGTTAAAGTGTATGTTGTTACTTGGAGGCGCATTATGCTTAGAGTTTATTTAGCTTATTCTCAACAGTGTTTGGTTGATAGTTTAGTTAGATGGTGTTTCTGGCAGGTTTTGAGAATCGTCTATTACGTAGTCACCGAACTTTTAGCAGCAGCTGTCACTCAGCCAAATTTAGCTTTTACCCCATATATTTAAAACTTGTACCTAGAGTTGATTAGCAGTTACTGCTAACTTTCAACAGAAGTGGTTTTTCTGCTGTCATATCTGCATATTTATAAAAGCATAGGAATCCCCAATCTTAAGATGATGTGCGATTTCTCTCTCTCTCATTGTCCTTCCTTAGTTTGCAGTATTCTGCTTACTCCTCATTTTTCCTATATGTTGTCATATTTTGCCAGTCCCTAGTCAACCTTGTTTTACCACTATCTCCCTGTCATATCAGGCTCATATCAATTACACGTCATCAATTTCTCATTAATTATTACCTATATTCCTAACCTTAATGATGTACTGTTTTTGGTGCCAAAGTTTAAAGATCAAGCACTAGATTTGGTTTTAGGAGTGCAGACTGTCTTAGCCAAGCCTGTCCTACCCAAGCCTAAAGTACCAAGCCTGACTTAACTCAACTTATAGGCTTGGCTCTTGAGATTGGCTAGCCAAGCCCCAAAGTCCATGGCTTGAGCTTTACTTGTAAAGAAAATCCAAAAATCTGAGTCTGATCTCAATGATACGAGCATCATCTACCAAGTACAAACCTGATGCATGAAATGTTCTTCTAAGGTTATGTTTGAGTTGCTTTTTTGGTGTGCATTTAGAATTGTTATTTTGTTTGGTGTTATTTTATAGAGTACTAACTTTGTCCCAAAAAGAATGGTACTATTAGAATTTGTGGAATCAAAGAGTTTTGCCTTTGATTATGATTCTTGCAATCATTTTTTAGATAATATTGCCCATAAAAATTTTGATGCATAGTATTTTGTGGTTTCTAAATATGTAAATTCCTTCAAAAAATTTAAATAATAAATGTCGATAATTCACATTGAGACTTAGATATGTCACTTTTACTTCAAACCATTCTATTCTTCTGTGTCCCAAAAAGAATGGTAGTATTACTTTTTGGGCAATAAAACATCTTTTCCTTCTAATTATGATCTTTTTAGATATTTTCTAGATACCATCTGTAAAACGTTTGTGACTTGTAGTGCTTTATGGATCCTAAATATGTAACTTTTTACCGGAACATTGAGAAATCAAGTCCCAATTCGCACTGAAAACTCAATATATTTTCTCTCTTACTTCAAACCATGCCATTCTTTTTGGGGTTGTTGGATGACTATTTATAGAGCATTGATTAATCTCATTGCTTTTCAATGATGGTACTCTATGAGTAACAATATCATTAGTTGTCCTTAGCTGTCATTAACTAATTTCTTAGAAGAAGTTAGTGACAACATACAACATAAAAAGAGTTGGTTGCTGATGTTGGTTCTACATTAGAACCCAGCTACAAATTAATGGAAGTCTGCAGGAGTTGATAGACAGGGTGAGAAGGACTCCTTCGGGGTGGGGTGGGGAGGGGAGCCATCAATAAGATACCTCTATGGAGGGGCACTACTGCAGTATAGATGTTCTCTAGGCCATGTAGAGGTCTAGAGGGAGTCCGAATGGAAGACTCTTTGAAATGGTGAACCTACACGGGAAGGAAAAGGAAGGCAACCTGTTAGATTTCATAGTGGAAGTGCAGTGATTTATAGGTTGACTGCTTGGGAGGACAAAAACTCGGAGGTAGATTGGGCTTCATCAATGGTGTACTGGACTATACTACCATTTATTTCGCGTCTCTTGTTCCTATTTCCTCTATGGTGGTGTAGCAGCTAGACAGAATAGAATCAGAAGGAATTTCTTGTGAAGGTAACAACAAATTACATTTCCCTTAACAAACAACAAACAACATGAATCTTTGTTGATAAGTTGGAGGTGTTGTTCAAATCAGAAAAAAAATGGGAGGTTTGGGGCTCGGAGTGGGCAACCTCAAACGTTTAGCTTTATAAGGAGTTTCTGTTTAAATAGTTTTTGATATAAAACAATGTAGATGATGCTCTATGGAGAGGTTTTTAATGTGAAGTATAGATAATAATGAAGATGTTGCTCCATAGAGAAAGATTATTAACGCTATATATGTCTTACTAGAATGATTGGGCATTAAAGTTGCTCTTTCTTCTTATGATTCTTGAAAGCACATCAAAAACTTTTCGGAAGAGTTTAAAACCAATATTTGGTACGAGATCGTGATTGTGTGCATATAAATTTTTTAGCATGTTCCTGGCTTAGGCTCAGTCCTTCAAAGGAGGAATTTATTAATCATTTTTATTGGCTTCCTACCTTGACCCCACTATAGCATAGTATAAAGTCCACGATTCTTGAATTTTTACTTCTAGAAGAAATTGTGAAAGTTAGGAGATTGGCAGTTTCTATTTTGTAGAAATTGTAAAATAAAACATAGATCACATATTGGGTTGATCCATTCGGTGGAAAGGCGATAGAGAATGGCTATCTACTGTAAGGCAGGTGGTAATACAATATATTTAACTCCACCGATCTTTTCTGTTTACCTCTTGCCTTTATCCCATTGTAGGAGAGTTCTGAGTCAATTGTTGCTAATATCACTTAAGAAGACCGTGAAAGTTTGAATATAGAAAATTTAACTTATATTTTGTGGATGAAAGACACAACATGAATCACAAATAGGGTTAATCCATTTAGTGGAAGGATGATGGGAAATGGCTATCTACTATAAGGGCATGCTATTACAATATGTGTAACTCTAGGAACATAAATACGAATTGGCTCCGGTAAGGTATGGATAATAGAGCCCCGTAAAAGTATGTTACATTTGGCTGGATAGTGTTTCATGAAGCTTACTTGACCCTTAGACAACACGAGAAGGGGTTCACTTTGTATTGGGTGTTGTGTGAGAATTAGAAATGGAACATGTCAAGTATCTTTCATACACTGTATTGTTGCAAGGGGATGCAAGACATGTCTTTGAATTGTTTAGGATACTTAAAGCTGCATATTTGAGTTAGCTTGAATGAATAACAATCCAAAGACTAAATTGGAAGATTTGGCAACAATCCCTACTTGAACTTTGTGGACCTTGTAAGGGAGAGAAATTAGAGATGTCTTGAGGAATTTTCTGTTCCCATCCATAGTTAAAATGTCCAGATGCTTAGTAACTTGGTGAAATTTAGACACGTACTTGATGAAGATGCATTGAAAAAATCTGACTATTAAATCTGAAATTTTAAGGCAATGGGTGTAGTAATCCAAGATTTTATGAAACCTTTGGATCTCCTATACCGATCTAGACGTTATAGAGCTTAGTATGTGGTACACGTGTATCGTGATTCTTTGGTTCACAAACTAACTTGAATGCGGATATATGAGTGTTGTACAGGTTTACCAAAATTGACTTTGATAGTCTGAGAGAGTCTCCGCATCCACTTTAAAATATTGAGACAATTGGTGTAGTTTAAACCTTTATAAACTCTTTTAGATTTAGATATCCTTTTATATCAAATGTGGAAAAGTGTGCAACACAGCAGTAGCTTTGATGCTTGCTGCATTTTGATAAGTAAATTGCTCCATGAGTTGTTGTATACTCTCTAACATCTCATTGATACTTGTATAGTAATATATGATTACATCATAAATGAAAGAAGCGTATATCAAATCTTAAGTCCTACAACGGCTCAACGGAAGACTATGTAGCAAGCATCCATAATCTACAACAAATCGTAAGTCCTATACTGGGATTGCTACAAAAACAACAACATACCCAGTGTGATCTCACAAGTGGTGTTTGGGAGGGTAGTATGTACGCAGACCTTAACCCTACCTTGTAAAGGTAGAGATGTTGTTTTCGATAGACTCTCGGCTCAAGGAAAGCATAATCACAATAGATTTTAAGAAGAAATACAGTAGTAAAGAAGCCATGGAAAGAGAAGCAATAACCACAACAAGAAAAATAAGATAACTAAAGCAAAATAAACAATAGGTAGTAATAGAAATCCAAGAATAGGAAATACGAGAATAACATTAGTACTATAGGTATGGAAAATCAATACAAGTATGAAAAGAAATACGCTCGACTACGTACTAACTTACTACCCTAACCCTCGACCTCCCCACCCTCCTATCAAGGGTCATGTTCTTAGTAAGCTGAAAATGTGCCACGTATTGCCTTATTACCTCTCCCCAATACTTCTTCGGCCAATCTCTACTTCTCCTGGCTCCCATCATATCTAACCTCTCACACCTTCTTACTAGGACATTTGCGTATCTCCTCTTCACATGCACAAACAATCTCAGCCTCGCTTTCTCTATCTTGTCCACCACAAAGGCCACTCCTACCTTGTGCCGAATATCTTCATTCCTAATCATATCTCTCCAAGTATGCCCACAAATCCATCTCAACATTTTCATTTTCGCTACTTTTATCTTCTGAACATGAGAGGTCTTGACTGGGTAACGCTCCATACAACATGGTCGGTCTAACAACCACTCTGTAGAACTTACCGTTAAGTCTCGGTGGCATATTTATATCACACAAAATGCCGGATGCGAGCCTCCATTTCATCCACTCCGCTCCAATACGATGTGTGGCATCATCCTCAATCTCCCCATTACCTTGGATTATAGACCCAATAT